TGCCCGGCCTATGGCACAAAGTACCATCTCTCGACCCCGTTTTGAGTGAGTCGGTGGTATGGAGGCTGGTGTCTGCCAGAAGATTTTTGTAATTTTTGCCACTGTCTTATTGAGAGGGAGGGTGATCCTTGCTGGGAATCAGCTGTAAGTATGTCCACCATTGGATCCGCATCCTCCTTGACCTCCTTGGCCTGCACACCCAAGTTTTGGGCCAGACGCTTGAGGAGACCCTGATGCGTTTGCATGTCCATGGCTGGCACAGCTGGGGACAGGTCCGCCAAGGTTTCATCTGGTGATGAGGACGAGGAGTCCCTCTGCGGTGGTGGCCCTTCTACAGGCACAGTTGGCAGGGATTGAGTGGGCTGCATCTGGTTAGAGCCCAATGAGGGTGGTTGCTGAGGTGGATGTGCAGAGTCCCCACTCAACCCCAGGAGGCTGGCTCTTCTCTCTGACCAGGGCCTCTTGTTAGTGGGGTAGCTGAGGGGGTAGCCCTATGGTCTGAGTATGACGAGGCCACCACCGATCCTGACCTGGAAGAGCCCTGGCCCTGGACTTGGTGGTACTCTCAGGGGGCCCAAAAGGGCCACTAAGTAGGTGGCTGCTATTGCGGGGACTATGACTGCACCGTAGTCGGACTGGCCCTCCTTGAGCAGTGCTGCGAACGAGACCAACACCAAGACCGGGATCGGTGCCAGGACCTCAACCTGTGCATGGACCCTGACCTCTGTGACCTGGCAGAACAACGCAATGAGGCCCTAGACAACAAGGATTCCACATCTGACTCAGAGGAGCATTCCGATGTGGACCACGGCAGTCCTCAGATGATGCCTGCTCATGACAGTGGCTGTGCTGTGCCATAGCCAATGGTTTCCCCTGGTGTGGCAGTGGCGGTGCCAGCTGGAGCATAGACAAAGACTCTGGCGCTGGGAGATGTGGCGCTGGTGGCACTGGAGGGACGGTTGTCCTAATCCGCACAGATCCTGCACTGGCGGGGTCGGTGCCGTTATCACAGTCAGTGCCAGACTTGATTCACATCCCGAGTGATGGGGGAGGTGGCACCGAAGGAGGTGACAGAGCCACCCTAACCCCATGGCGTTCCCAGCCCGCGCGCACCTCTGTACCATGAGGTGCCAGCCTGGGGAGGACGTGAGCTCTATCAGCTCCCGAGCTGCCAAAAACGTATCCGGGGTTGAAGGCTGTGGGACCTCCTCCATGGACAGGTCCTAGGCCTCCATGCTGCTTGCCCATGCAGGGCTCGGTCTGTGCGGATGGTGCACTGGAGATGAAGCCTCGGGGCATCCCCTCGCGGATGCGCCCCTTGGTCCTGTCTCAAGGGTGATCTCCTTCTTCGCACCATCTTGCGTGCACTCAATGCCGGGGACTGGGAGCGGTGCCTTGGCACCGGCCGGTGCTCCAATGCCGTGAAGTGCTTTGAGATATGTTCAACGTCCCGGATTGACCCTGGTGGGCTTCTCATCGACTATGCTGATTCCGGTGCTGGTGATTGGAGTGATGACTTCATCAGGAGTAGCTTGAGTCTAGAATCATGTTCTCTCTTAGTCCTTGGCTTAAAGGATTTACAAATCATCCAGGAGTCCATCAAATGGCCTTCCCCCAGGCACTTTAGGCACTCGTTGTGTGGGTCACTGCAGGGCATAGGCTTCAAGCAGTGCAGGCAAGGTTTGAAGCCCTGAGGCCCTGGCATATCCCCCACAAAGGGGGGAAAATGGGAGCGAACTATCTATTAACAACTCTAGCAACAGAAACTCAAAACACTAAGAACTATTTACAAGAGATAAGAGTGCTAAGGGCACACTTGCGATAGCAAGCCAAGCGTTCCAGCAACCATATGAGCGGTAAGAAGGAATTGAGGGGGTGAGGGCCAGCCAGGGAATATATGTGTGGTTATACTGGCGCCATTCCAGGGGGCTCCTTGGCTGGCCCAATGGGTACTGCTAAGGGTAAAAAGCTTCTGGAACTTGTGCATGCGGCACGTGCACGCCTAAGTGGAATGGACATAAGCAAGCACTCGAAGAATCTTGTCAACACAAATTTTTGTCCAACTACTAACCTGTCAAAAACAGACATTTCAGAATGTTGTTCAAATAAAATAGGTAAACATAAATCACACACACTAAAGATATTTAATTCCATAAATTTTGCAGCAATTTCTTCTTGATATCAAATGGGTTCAATGCACAGAATAAAACAATATGGCTTTTAAACAGCTGTTGTTTTAAACTCTTGGCTGTCTACATTTAAGGCAAAGTGTATTAAATCTTTTTCACGATCAAATCTGCTATTGTGAGCCACAGTCCCTTAAAAGAAAAGCAGTCAGTATATAGTCATTCCTCTCTTTCTTACCAGATCTATGGCACCTAAATTAGCAATTTTGTGTTTTATGTAAGTCAAGTTTGGCTTTAACTGTGTCCCTAATTTAAGAACTTTTATGAAGGTATAAGTTATATGAGCTACAATAGTAGTATCATATTTGTTATTTGTAAATTTTGCCATTGCTCAGCAGTACAGTTTTCATGAAGGATTATCAGTATTTCCACTATAACCATGTTTTTGATGGGTTTTCTAATCAGATAACTAACATGTTTAAAATGAAGTCATCAACAAGTTTTCATTCAAGAGCAAATTTTTTTTAAACAAAATATTCAAAATAAAACTCACTTTTGTGTTTCCATTGTGACTGGGTATGACCAAATCCTATTGCACAGAGCAAAGTTAATGTAAATGGTCTTTTCTTACATTTCAAAATATCAGCAGGCTGAAGTTTTGAATCTTTAGCCACAACCATCAGGGTGCACAAATAGCCTACAACCACAGAATATGGAGAAGGGTAGCTCTCTACTCCACATGAACAAAATTTTAAACTAGTGGGTCTGCACAATGCATGTCCTTGCCACACCTCCTGCCTGTCCAGAATCCATGCCCATCCAGGATCCTTCTGCCTTCTAGCATAGACAGCTACCCTGGAACACTTCTCCACATCATGAAGGGCAAAGCCGAGGCTGCGGCTTTGCTCGCGGTGCCCCTGGTCTGCTGGAGACGGCAAAGCCTCAGAAGCGCGGGACCCCGCCGCGGCTGCGGATTTGCTCCCGGTGCCCCTGGTCTCCTGGGGACCGTCTCCAGCAGACCAGGGGCACCGCGAGCAAAGCCGCAGCCTCGGCTTTGCCCTTCATGATGTGGAGAAGTGTTCCAGGGTAGCTGTCTATGCTAGAAGGCAGAAGGATCCTGGATGGGCATGGATTCTGGACAGGCAGGAGGTGTGGCAAGGACATGCATTGTGCAGACCCACTAGTTTAAAATTTTGTTCATGTGGAGTAGAGAGCTACCCTTCTCCATATTCTGTGGTTGTAGGCTATTTGTGCACCCTGATGGTTGTGGCTAAAGATTCAAAACTTCAGCCTGCTGATATTTTGAAATGTAAGAAAAGACCATTTACATTAACTTTGCTCTGTGCAATAGGATTTGGTCATACCCAGTCACAATGGAAACACAAAAGTGAGTTTTATTTTGAATATTTTGTTTAAAAAAAATTTGCTCTTGAATGAAAACTTGTTGATGACTTCATTTTAAACATGTTAGTTATCTGATTAGAAAACCCATCAAAAACATGGTTATAGTGGAAATACTGATAATCCTTCATGAAAACTGTACTGCTGAGCAATGGCAAAATTTACAAATAACAAATATGATACTACTATTGTAGCTCATATAACTTATACCTTCATAAAAGTTCTTAAATTAGGGACACAGTTAAAGCCAAACTTGACTTACATAAATGAAAATAATAGTAACCCACCAATCTTAAAAGTAATTATAGTCCAGTGGTAAGTGGGCTTGAAAAGAAGTAAGGAGGCCCAGATTTAAATCTGTGCTCTGTTGCAGACTTCCTGTAAAACCCTAGCAAGTCTCTTTACACCTCAGTTCCTCAGACGTAAAAATGGAACTAACAAGACTTCTCTATTTTACAGGCTATTATGAGACTATGGCTGTGTCTACACTGGGCCACTCATTCCGGAAAATAAGCCGCTTTTCCGGAATAAGCTGTGAGCTGTCTACACGGGCTCTTGAATTTCTGGAAAAGCAATGATGCTCTACTGTACAAAATCAGCTGCTATTCCGGAAAAACTATTCTTCTCCCGCTCGGGCATAAGTCTTTATTCCGGAACACTGTTCCGGAAAAGGGCCAGTGTAGACAGCCCAGTAGTCTTTTCCGGAAAAAAGCCCCGATCGCGAAAATGGCGATCGGGGCTCTTTTCTGGAAAAGCGCGTCTACATTGGCCACAGACGCTGTTCCGGAAAAAGGGCTTTTCCGGAAAAGCAGCCTGCCAATGTAGACGCTCCTTTTCCGGAAAAACTGAAAACGGAATAGTATTCCGTTTTAAGCAGTTCCGGAAATCCATGCCAGTGTAGACACAGCCTAAATGTAATACAGAGCATGAGGTGCACAGAAATAATTGCAAAAGATGTTATAAAAGTACATGAAAGAGATTGAAAGCTGCCATCTGCTCCACGGGAATGCTATCCTGTGCATGTTGAGTCAGATGGACTTCAGAGAGACTCTGCACAGGCATAGGAGTTTGATTTGTGGATCCAAATGCAGGATCAGGACATATATTTGTGTTCTATATCTATATTTTTTTTTGTGTTGGTGTTTCTGAATACTCAATCATTTCAGTAACAATGTTATAAAATTAGATTTTCACTCTTGAAAAGTCTTCTTAAATTTTATGAAGGTTTTGTGTAAGCAGGTCTATTATTCGACTCTGTACTGTAACTATGGAATAAAAACTTGTACAAATTATTGTGGAGTATTATTGAAACTGATGTATATGGAGCTTTTAAAAAAGGTAGTTCATAAATCCACGTTTCAGTGTCTTTGAAAATGCTATCTAACAAATGTATACTTTTTTGGTTCAGTATGTTCGAATCACTTAACAGAAGGGTAGTTTATCTGGCAAATAAATGTCAGAAGTATCTCTTACTAATTTTCTTTGCAAGCCTTTGGCTTTTCCTTGTTTGCTCATCCTTGGCGTTTCCATCTATAGTTGATCCTGGGTATGTACTGGTTTCCAGCTCCGAATGCAGTTCTTTGCTGTCCTTACAAGCAAAATCTTGTGTTCTATTGATGAGAGATTTGTTTAGAATTAAGACAAATATTCTGCACTCTATAAACACCAATGTAATATTTACACGAGATTATTTTTAAATTAAGTTGTAAAGGTTTATAATTATGTGCAGATGCGTACTACGCATGATCACAAAAACTTCAATGCTGAGGTGGGGAACCTAAGACCCAGAGGCAGCCCCCAGTTTACCTGGATCTGGACCCCAAGGCTCAGGGTTCTCACCAGCACTGAGGAGCCTGCAGTGATGCTCCAGCCCCATGCCGTCCCTTGCGGGGCTGGAACACACAAAATCTACTAGGCTGGACTCCCCTAGGTTCTGGTGTGAGAGAGGAATGTGGAGAGCGTCTTTCTCCTTCTCAGTTGGAGTCCATGTCAGTGAGGTTTTGGGGCTTTTTTCCTCTCACTTGTGTATGACCCCTGCCTGATTCTTCTGTGGGTCAGCAGCCCCCAACCCAAAAAAGGTTCCCTGCCCCTGACTGGAATATACAGTAAACTTCCGATAATCTGGCACCTTTAGGACCCAGGGGGTTCTGGATTATCAAATATGCTGAACTATCGGAAGGAGGAGCTATGAGGGGTCTGGGGTGGGGGGGATGCCACCCCAGATCCCTCATAGCCCCCCTTCTGATAGTCCGGCTCTGCCCCAGGCATCCCCGATTCAGCTGCTGCTGGTCAGTTTCAGCAGCGGCTGAATCGCCGATAATCTGGCACCTTTAGGACCCAGGGGGTTCTGGATTATCAAATATGCTGAACTATCGGAAGGAGGAGCTATGAGGGGTCTGGGGTGGGGGGGATGCCACCCCAGATCCCTCATAGCCCCCCTTCTGATAGTCCGGCTCTGCCCCAGGCATCCCCGATTCAGCTGCTGCTGGTCAGTTTCAGCAGCGGCTGAATCG